ATGTAGCCAACCATGCTAATCGGAGGTGCGGGGGAAGGACAGACTTTCTGCCACGTGCCGCATCGTTTTGGTTTATGTCAGTTCGTGTGATTTGCCCCAAATCCCGGAAAGTTGGATTAATTTGTCCTGTTGAGCTTTCTCAGTGAAGTTGAGCTTTAGCAGTAAGTGCAATAATGATGTTTTTTTCAATAGCAATGGCAAATCTTTACCCGGCAAAAGCTTTCGTTCGAGTACCAGGCCTTTGTTTCTGAATGGCCATGCTTGGCATTAGGGGCTTCGGGGGCTGCAATGGTTTGCTGCCCCCCCCCCCCCCCACATCTGCCGCAATGAAATCGAAGTCGCGATTCAGGATCGCGATTAAATTCGAGGATTGATTAATGTTCGACGGCTTGTGCACCAGATCTTGTTTATTCACGATGTACTTACAAAAAATTTCGCAGACTACCTGCTGGATCTCCTCTCTGTTTCAAAGAACTAATTTGACCTTAGGTCTTCGCTCATTTACCAGCTTCACATCCCTATTGCCGTACAAAAACTGGAGGGAAGGGCCCTTTGCTATTGATGCCCCCAGGGTCTGGAATGCTATTGCCAATAAACTGCAACTTGAATCACTACCTATGAGATCTTCACTCAAAACTGCTCTAGAGGAGTTGTACAACCCTAGCTGCCACTGCTATTCAGTAGCCTAAAATATGGCTCTAGATTTTGGTGTTATAATTAATTTATGTAGTTTATTGTTAAAAATTCGGTCACAGTCCCTATGATCACTGTTACATTGCATTCATGGCTTTTATTTTGGTGATTTCGAAAACTTTTTTTGTTTTGGCCATGTTTTTGTTTATTGTAGTACGGAGTTAGACTGATGGCCTTAATCTTAGTTGTCTTGTGGTTGTTGTTGTTATTTGACTTGCATCCCACTGGGATTTTTGCACACAGCGTTGGTGTACGGTGCTATTTCAGGAATATTTCGATATTTTTTTCCTGGATTTTCTGTTTGCACAGTCACATAGTCACTTTAAGATGTTTTCTTGTTCATGTTTTTTGTTTGTTGCGGTTGCACCGGATTCACGAGCCGAATGGCTCACAGGGCTATACCAAATAAATGAACTATGAACTACTTTTTTTACGTGTCGGGGTTAACGTTGCGGCCCTGTAGTGGCCGCAGCGGTCACATGAAGCCGTCACACGCAGCATCTACGACTTGAATCCGTTGCGTTGTCCCAACCCGGCTTTGGTAGACTTTGCACAGGTGCCGCGTGTTACGCAAGCTGCTTTGGGGAGTCTGGCGCGTCTGCGACACTTCAATTCCCCTGCGTGGGTGTTCGCCATGGCGCCGTACACCTCTCACGTTGCGCTCTCGGGTTGTGCCGCCGCCGCTCCCGGCACGTGGCAGCGAAACGTCGGACATCGTGCCAAACAACGCGCGGCGGGGGGCACGGCTCGCACACACACACACTGGTTAGAGAGCTTATTCCTGTTGCGCAGAGCGAAACTTGGAATGAACGCCACGGAACAGAGGGCTGAGATTTTCTTCATTGCAGCGCGGAACGTGAGTGATGCGCAGGTCGCCAGACCAACACCACTTTTTAGGGAGAAGACACGTATGCAGGCATCGCGATGCTGGCTTGGACTCCTGCCAAGGCTTGCCTTTCCGCAGCCTTAACAGGCACTGCTGGCCAATAAACTCTTGGCCCAGGAGTCAACACTGGCGGGGGGTGGGAGGCGTATTTTGCGCTTGTTGTTGTATGCTCGTGTTTGGGTTTGTCGGGCGAGAACGGTGGGCGAGGTTGAGCGAAGTGTTCGATGTTGCCGCTTTGGATGCGTGCGTGCGTGCGGTGGCGGGATGACGGGGTGGAAGGTTGGTGTTTTTTTCTCTCGGCGCGGTGTCATGGCAGGGTGGCTCGCGCGGCTGGCTTCAGGAGCATGGAGAAACCCAGACGTGCAGAGAAAGCCAGACGGCCAGATCAATTCTCTATAAATAGTCCTATCAGGCTGATATGAGTGCTTTGACCTTTTGTGTATGTGTCTGTTGAGTCTTTATGTTTCTGTGTGGGTGTGGTTGCTGGCCACACGCCAACCCCTTAGTGCGCCGTACTGCCCAGAGCAATATCTCGATGGTTATGCTGGCAATTGCCGTCACTGTCTGAGCGTGGAATTTGGGAAGAAATCGTCCAGGGGTTGATAACGTTGCACGGTTGAAACTGGTGACCTGAGCTCAGATACCTGGACACAGCTTTCGTTGGTGGCAAGTGGGTATCGGGACCTGTTCCAGAGCCTCACCTGGTTGACTCAGCCTTAAATTAGAAACCGGTGTTGGATGTGTAAACGTTAGCACTGGAGAGAAAACGATTTGGCCGGGCATGATGCTGGTCCACATCACCCAACCCTGTTTTTTGCTGTGGCGGTCTTAATTGGTCCTCGCCAAACAGCGCCTGCCCCAGTGCAGCCTGTTAAAGGCAACACGGGGCATCTTCTTCGCCTCTGCTGGGTGTGTGTGGAGCGGTGGAGTTTTTAGGTTAGCCAGCTCACGGGTACTTTACTGCGGCAGCCGCTGGTCCGAATCCTGGGCACAGTAATGGGCAGCGGCGTTTGGTGTCAGAGATTGGCTTGGCTCAAATGAGTCATTTTATAAAGTAATTGCAGGTTTTAAATTCGCCCCCCCTCCTCCCACATTTTATATTTTATACTCCGAAGATTAGACATCGCATGCTGCGCGGTCTTAATTTATGTTATGAAAGGTTTCCTTTTTTGTTAGCTAAAGTTTCTGAGAAGCTGCATTTGTTTCGTCAAACTAATACCGTATTCTCCGGATTATGAGACCCTCCGGGAAAATAAGACGCACCTTCCCCCCCCCCCCCTCCCCCAAACTTGGTCCTGGCCTCAATAAGCAATCACGGTATGCAAATCTGGTTAATTGCACGCACACTCACACACCTACCGGATTATTAAGCACCCCCTCAAACACTTGGGTAGGGAGGGGAATGAGTGGGTCACGATCTGGAGAATACAGCACTGCCTCTTTGGGGTAAGGCCCCATTAGCTCTCACGAGCTAATGCCTCAGATGGATTGCAGGCCGTTAATAAAGTTCGCCTTTGAAGCCGAGTAAAATATGCCCCAGGAGCGGTGGTTAATCCTTTACGAGCTCTGACCGCTCAGAAGCCGATAACTTTGGCCTATTTATTATGTTTATAACCTTGCAAATTGTGCCATGATGGCACATTAAATAGCAAAACGGAACGGTCAAGGTGCAGCCCTGCAATGTCTTGCTCATTCCGCTGCTGGTGGAAAGCACCTCTACTTGAGGGGGCCCGTAGCTCTAGAGAAGATCACCTCTAGAGAGAGCGTGTGTTTTGGCCTACTCCTCCACGCTCAGCTAAATGCCTTCCATGCCCGGCATTTTGTTTGAAGAAGAAAATTCCAGGCCAGCTTCAACCTTTTTCCGTGTCATCAGCGATGCAGTTGAACTAATATTTGCCGTGTCGCAAGATATTATCAGTACGAGTATTCCCTCTAAATGTTGTATCCTAATGAGTGCAAAAAGCAATATTCCATATGAACCCATTATCTGAATTTCTCTACAACGGTGTATAATGAGTTAAATGCATTCCTGCTTTCCTTTGTATAAACATCATACTTTTTGTCTTTTTTTATGTGGAGGCAGAGACTAATAGAATTGTGCTTAATCACCCATAATATTTCATAACACCGCATAATGAGTTTTTTTTTATACAAGAAATAAGTAGTTCTGCTGCAGCGTCAAAATAAAATGTTTAAAGTCTACAAGTAGACAAAGGCGTTGCTCTGCAACAGAAAATAAGAGGCATCTGTCATTTTCATATTATCTTGTACTCGGAACACAACAAGTAATCTGCATTTTACGTAATAAAATGCCAAGGTAATATTCTCTGGAATTTAAAATGTTTTTTATCTGGCGTAATAATTACATTGCTAGGGCAATTTTAAATGAACAGTGGTCAGTCTTTTTGTATTCGTTACTCCAACCTCTTCGGTGTCGATATCTATTATTGTTATTAAATGTCTTCCGAACATTTCCGCCGTTTCAATTTAACTCAATGCACCCACTAACAATAGACTTATTGTTAGGGTGGATAGGAGGCCAGCCAGCAGCTAGCCAGGACACTCGAGGCATCGATTATTTTTAACCGTAGCATGATTAAATGACGTCCCTGCTGAAGGAATGTGTTCTGGTGGCTTGATTTCAAACAAGGTTCTTGAGCTAGGCTAATTGTTGTCGTCTAATTCATCATCATGATCAGCCATAAGCTGGGCGGCTGTGGCTATGCACGTGGTCTGTAATCTAATACTGTGGAGGCAGCAAGAGATTGGTGTGTATCACTGCGCAATTTTTTGCTAAACTCCCTTCCCATGCCAGGCAAGGTGGTTGCCCTACCCTTGCTCGCCAGGAGAAGGCGGTGCAGGAAAGTTCCGACGAATATCACCTGTCTATTGAGCAGGGAATCGAGTGTTGCACCCTCGCACGCACTTGTGGGTTTCCTCCAGGTGCTACGGTTTTCTCCCCACATGTATAAACACTCAGTAATACTGGTAGGAAACGTAGTGGACTGGAAGCCCAACCGGGATTAATTCACAGGAGGCAGGGGATTATACAATGCACTTTCTGGTGTGACCTCTTTTACGCTGCACTTTCTGGCGTCGTTTTAGAATTCTCCTCACTTTTCATTTTGCTTTCTTCTGCGCACGACCCTAACAAGTTTGGCTTAAATATCCGTACATAATTACTTCATAATTACTTCAAAATTTCCTACCAGCCCCCTCCGCAGGAATGTGTTTGTCTGAAAACATCTTCATGCCTCCGCACACACCTTTGTGTTTGCAAATTGTGCGGCATTTGCAGATTGTGCAGCGTGTGGATAGGCAGTTTTGCCTGAATGAGGCTGTGTAAAAGTATTTGTTAGTATTGTTATTAATTATTTAAAGCTGATATCTTCTGTGTGTGTGCTCTTATTCTCATTTTCAGGTCCAGCCCAGGTTCCCATGATGTCTCCCAATGGGTCCATACCTCCCATCCACGTGCCACCAGGCTACGTGTCGCAGGTGAGCCCCAGCACAGCACTGACATTTCAGTTGTATTCCGGAGAACTCCGCTTATCCTCCGGCCCTGTTGCCTGCAGGTGACTCCTCTCTTATCCTTGAACGATTTACGGATAACGGTATGATGCCGTTCCACGGTGCAGGGATGGGAAAACAAATGTGTATAACCGCAGGTGATATGAAGAACAGCGGTGTGAGTAATAGGAGTTATTTGTTGACCGTATAGGACCGGCGGATCACAAGATCCGAGGGTAATATCTGTGCGGACAAGAGTTGTATTTGCACTCTTGTTTTCTCCCATGCGTGACAATACTGAGACGGTACTGGTCAGGTATTTTGCAAAGCAGGACTCACCAAAGTGTGTTGTGAGACTCATCAAAGGTTTGCAGAACGAATTAATTTATTATTAAAAATAGATTTTAAGTGGGTGTTTTATTTTTATGAAACATGCTGGCTGTTTTGATTAGGCTTTAAATACATGTAATTGTGACTTAAGTCGTCTTTAAACACCACAATGCGAATGCCATCGATTTGCATATGAAGAATGCAGCTCAGCAGATCTTTGACAATCCACTGCTAGATGAAAGCCTTACTTTTGCCGTGTTGGTTATCAGGGTTGTTTGACCATACTTCTTCACCACGCTGGTCAGCGTGCGTTGGCGAAGAACGGTGCTTCAGGGATCACTGACCATTGATGTTGGCCATGGCTGGGAATTGAAGTCGGATCTCCGACTTTGTCGTGCATTGTATGTATGTTGAACTTCTTTCACGCCGTGCATAGCCAACCGTGCTAACCGGAGGTGCGTTAACCACTGTGCTGCACTCTTGAGAGCATATTAGCCATTGCATGTCAAATCAATTCCTGACTGGCAATTAAACAATTAACCCTTTCGACGTGTACGCCATCTGTTTTTCTTCCTATTCCTTTCCGATGACGCAATAAAAACGAAACCGGAAGGAAAAATGAATTAAAATAACTTTATCGGTACCGAGGCTCCTACAAGGCCATGCCGGAGTGTGTGTGGCACAGTTTGGCGCTAGCGATCACAGAGCGCGGGTGTGTCGCTAAAGTTCTCTGCGGCGAGTACAGTGTCTTTAAAAACAATGGCGGCGCTACTAAGCCTCAAAATTCAAATTTACACTGAACAAATTCAGCGGTGAATGGGACCCCCACCCTACAACTTACAGACGTTTCAGAATGGGAAAGGGTTCAGTGGACTACTTTGTATGGCCAGCTGGTTAAGCAGGTGAGTGAGTAGCTCGCTATCGGATGGTTCGAAGTTCACAACCTGGTCGGGGGTTGACTCAACCCATTGACAATCTGGGGTCTATAAAACGAGTATCGCTTTGTGGGGAAGTCTACGATGGTTGTCCTATGGGTAGACTCGCCCCTTCCCTGCCAAAGGAATGTGGAATTTCCACCACTGGTTTAAGGCCGTCATAAGCAAGATATGATCACCAATGCATCAATGCTTATTTGACCTGACAATCACTTTAAGCTAGACTTGACCTTTGTGTCAGTCATGTGCAGGAGTGCGCACACGGTTTATATATCATCGCATACACACAGCATGGAATGTGATGTACAGTAAAACCTCGTTATTTCGATATTTGATGATTCGTAATTGGGGGGGGGGGGAGAATTCGGCAGGGCTGCGTTTTTTGGCATATACTATATATTAGTAATTCGCCATGAGCCAAATTGCGGTGCCGACTGGTCCAATTTCGGCATAAATGTAGTGCGACGCCGCGCGCCACAACCAAAACAATGACTCGGTCCAGTGGTGGAGCGCGTGGTGAGCGTTGGTGCAGACCCCGTTGCCTTGCACTTTAACTTTGTTTATGCGCTCTGTGCAAGCCAACACTTTCAGAATTGTCGTCTACACCTCCATCAAGAGGTAATGGAAAGGGTTCGAAGTATAAATCCCTTGGTCTCTGAGAATTGATGCAGGTGTGTCAATGTGTATCGTGTGTGAAGAGTTTGGAAAACAAATTTGGGAGAATTTTTTTTATTGGAGTACCATTGTACATACTTCGGAATATTGGATAATTTCGCAAAGGCCAGAAACCCCTTATGTGTTGCATTAACAAGTGTTTACTGTACATGCACGATGTTTAAGTGTGTGTGTGTTGAGCACATATAATGCACCTTATTCTCATGCACCGCAATCCACATCCACACGTACGACGCGTTGACAACTGCGGTGAGGAACACAAGTTTTATTGTTTAAAATAACTCCCCCACTCCCGCCCACCACGACCAAAATGGCAATGTCCACCAAAGGGAGCAGCAGAGAGCCCCTCTAAAGCAACCATTTTGGTCTGGTGCTGTTCCTTCCGCCTGTGTGAGTGTGTGCGCTGGTCTTGGTGCGTGCATTGCTGCATATTGTTCGTGCTAATCGTTCGCTACCAGACCACCTGGTATGGGGAGCAGTCTTCATGTTAATGTGAATCCATTGGGATCTCGATACTTGAGCCATGGTGGGACGTCTTCAGCGTCACGGCGGGGACGCCGACGGCGCCGCGTGCGGCGCGGACGGGCAAACCACACCGGAGGACCAGCTCCGGCGGGCGCATCGGTGGTGGTGGCGGCGGTGGCGGCGGTGGATTGTGGCGGAGTGACGAGCAGCGGTGTTTTTTGCCCGCGGTAACCATCACGAGCGCTGGTACCCGGCGGCGATGTAACGATAGACATCAGCGAAGGGATGCCTCGCTGGCTAGCGTCGCGAGCGCTGGTCTTTGCCGGTGCTGGAAGTGTGGGCATCAGTGGAGGTGGGCTCAGCTGGCAGGGATCATGGGACTTGGTCTCCGCCGGCACTGGAGGGGTAGGCATGGGTGGGCTCAGCTGGCAGGGATCCTCAGCGCTGGTCTCCGCCGGCACTGGAGGGGTAGGCATGGGTGGGCTCAGCTGGCAGGGATCCTCAGCGCTGGTCTCCGCCGGCACTGGAAGGGTAGGCATGGGTGGGCTCAGCTGGCAGGGATCCTCAGCGCTGGTCTCCGCCGGCACTGGAAGGGTAGGCATGGGTGGGCTCAGCTGGCAGGGATCCTCAGCGCTGGTCTCCGCCGGCACTGGAGGGGTAGGCATGGGTGGGCTCAGCTGGCAGGGATCCTCGGCGCTGGTCTCCGCGGGTGCTGGAGGCGTGGGCAGCAGCGGAGGCTGGGGGACGTGGGCTTGGTTGCGGCCGCGTTTACTCGCAGCATTGCGTGCGCGTCTTCTCCGGGCTGCAGCCGCCCGAAGAGCAGGGGCGAGGGCTTGTCTGTGGCCTCTGACCCTGCCCACAATGGGCGCCACCAGCGTTGTTGGTTTCTGCAATTCAGCACAAAATAAACCGGATTGAATGTCTTCAAAGGTAACAAAGATAAAGGTGCAAATCCTGAAACTGCCTGCTCAAGCCACCGCCAGTGGACGGGCCTACACTAAAGAACTCTCGAGCGCGCCTATTGTAGAGGGCATTTGGCCTACGTTACACTGGAAAAAATTGGAGTACCCACACTTTTCATCGCTAAACAGTCCAATCGGTTGAATGGCTGTGGTGTAGCCATTTCTGCTGCTGAGTGGATAAGAGACTGGGAGGCATTTAAACCAACTGGCCCTTGGTTTCAGTGAGAAACGCTGGGACACGGAATGGAATCTGGGAACCTCTGGATTGCAAGTGCAGTATATCGTATCAAACGTATATTTGAGCTGTGTCATCATTTTCCTTTATATATTAGAATTTTTTTTATTTAACAAAATGTGAGCATATTGTAGCCTGTCGCGCACTTTGCAAGTCTGGGGGAGTCAACAGTAGTGGAGAACCGTCTAATATCGGTGGCAAATTGCATTTGAACCAACAATTAATCTTCACCTTTAGAAGACCAGCTCGGACTATCTTGGTGAAGTGTGGTCAAAACAACCCCGCGAATAACACGGCATGGGGGAGGCCGTCATCCAGCAGTGGATGAATCATGACTGGTGGTGATGATGAAATATACCAGTCCAATAACAGTTGCAGGATCAGAATGTTTATTTATACTGGAGGAATCTGATGATCTATTAAGCTCTTTTTATCAGCTGCCCAATAGGGTTGTGTAAGAACGTTACAACAAACAGTATAAAAATATGACAGTAGTGCAAAGAACAAGGTAAACAAATCACCCAAACACATAAATAAAACATTAAGAAAACTAAACCATCATCCTACCAGGCAAAGCCCACTTGGGCTATTAACTTATCTTCTTAGAAGCAACTTGGACATTAACGGCAGCCAAAATAATAATAATAATCTCTGTAATCTCAACGCGAGCTTCTAACCGCCCGCTCGCTCGCTCACCTTGCGACGCACAGAGAACCACAGCTGCACGAGGGTGATGACGACTTGGCACAGAACGTTGAGGCGGTCGGAGGTTTTGACTTTGGCCCAGAGTGGGAGTCTGCCGAAGGGACGCTGAGCCTGGACGTTGTAGACGGCCGAGGTCTCGTTGGTTCTGTTGGGACAGCAGCAGACGGACAACGTCGACAACGTGAGACGGGGGGGGGGGTTACATGGGGTCCGCTCCCTTGGGAGCCCCGTCGCGTTGGTTCGCGTTTGCGTCGCGACCCGGGGGGGGGGGGCACTGCTACGGGGGGGGGGGGGGTGTTGGTGGCACTGCTACGGGGGGGGGGGGGTGTTGGTGGCACTGCTACGGGGGGGGTGGGGGTGTTAGTGGCCCTGCTACGCGGGGGGGGGCACTGCAACGCGGGGGGGGGGGGGTTGGTGGCCCTGCTACGCGGGGGGGGCCCTGCTACGTAGAGGAGGGGGGGCCCTGCTATGTCGGGGGGGGGGGGCTGCTACGTAGAGGAGGGGGCCCTGCTACGTAGGGGGGGGGGCCCTGCTACGTAGAGGAGGGGGGGGCCCTGCTACGTAAGGGGGGGGGGCTGCTACGTAGGGGGGGGGGGCCTGCTCCTTACCTGGCCGCGTCGTCCTCTATCCGCCTGGCGCGTCCACCGCGGGGCCGGATGGGCTCCCGTCCCCACGCGGCGTGCGACGTTGCGGGGCTGCTGGCGTCAAACGCGACGGCGTCTTCGCCGTCTCGGAGAGACGATTGGTGGTTGCTGTTGTTGTTGTTGTTGATCATCTCGTAGAAGGTTGTTGTAGCGTTATCGATCGCGGACATCGCTGGCTGATCCCCACGATGGATTAGGAGGATGCCCAGAAGCCACAAGACGGTTTTGACGCAACTCGCCATGTTTATGAAGAAATTTTTTTATTTTATTTTTAACAAAACAAAATAAAATAAAAAAAAATCTCCTCAGCGATGTCAAAGTTCGCGGCTGCCCTCTCGCGGCGCGTCCCCGAGCGAGCGAGCGAGCGAGCGGCGTGACGTCAGCGCGTGACGACAGCGCGTGACGACAGCCAGTGGATATTACGTCACTAGCACGTGACGGACACCACGTGGGGTGGGGCGGTTTTTGAATGGCGGTGAACAGAAAGTTTGTTACGGGTTACAAAGAATGGACTTGTCCCCGTCGTACGAACGTGGAAATGCAACCGCTTACTCCAGGGTCCGTAACATGGTAAGATGAACACCGCCTCTTATGCTCATTTTGTCTTTATTTGATATTTACCAGATAAGTTTACAATAACTTCCCACATGTAGGGTCCTATCAAAATGAACTTTTAAGTTTATAAATCGTCAAATTTTAATGGAAATGAAGTAATTTCAATAGTGTGAAATGTGCATTTAATTGTACATGTACATCTCAATTGCATGTTTGAAGACTTAACTTTTAAGTATTTAACCCTCGGTGGCTCTGCGGCTGAGTAAGCAAGACCCACGTAAAGTTAGTACAGTGCCTCTGTGTGAGTAAGTTCACACTGGTTGTTAAATGGATGGACTTAACCCCGTCATACGATTGTGGAATTTCAACCGGTGGACTGCAGGGCCAGGAGATGAACACGAACTCTGATGCTTCATTTGAGCAGCAAATCACCTTTGACGTGCCTTTACTTACACTGAGAGTTAACTATACTGTACATCTAATTAATCTTTAACAAATGAGCGGTTCCTCTACTCCACAAAGCTAACCCACTGCTCACTAAAGAGCCCCCCCCCCCCCCCGTGTTTTCGCTGCACCTCTGAGTGAGCTCTTGTAGAGTTTTAACCACGAGCTAAAGTTAGCAAAAGTTATAAACACAAACAGCATTCACTTGACGCCCTTGTCCAGAGCCTACACAGAGCACCAAACTTACACACAATAAACACTTTGCTGGCTCTCTTGACTCTGCCTGTATCTTTCACCTCCCCCTTCTATCTCGGTGTGTGTTGTGGTTATTTTTAAAACAAATAAACAGTTTAATTAACTCGCGGTTACTGTACAATTTAGTTTTGTCCTATACTCCGTTGAGCTACGAATTATCATTTGTGAGAGCCGGGTCGCTTCTGAAGAATAGAGCCACGATGTTGTGGCTCAGTGGGGGCCTTAACTGAGAAAATAAAATAAACTTTATCGTGTTCTCGGTTCTTTCGGTAAAGTCACGTAGAGGGGAAACAAATAATACAAATATAAAACAGTACAATTCTGACGACGTTTCGACTGCAACGTAAGCAATCATCATCAGGTGTGAAAACCACGGCAAGAAGTATCTTATTGTTTCCCTTCTACGTGACTTTACCGAAAGAGCCAAGAATATGAATCCCTGCAGTCACGAAAGCTTTAAATCAAAATCTAAACTGTTTATCGTTTTAGTTCGCACACGCGCGTGTGATTGTGTGTGTGGCGTTGACGACTTTGGGGTTACTGCATCTCTTAAACAAAAACAACATTCGTCGTTTAACAATTAACGCAAGACACCGGTTCTGTTCAACAATTGCTGCACTGTTTTTTTGTCCCGTCTCTTTCTGTGTCTACGTGGCTCTGTAACTGCGATCAGCACGGTCGGCTACGTACGGTGCGAAAGAAGTTTAACGCGCATGCTGCTGCGTCTGCGTTTGAACTTTGTGTGGGTTGGGTTTGGTGGATGTCCATGCGTGGGCAAGCGAGTGTGGTTTTTGGTGTTTCTAGTACACTTGCCTCAAGGTGCACCTAGCCTGGCACAAGCGCCGTGTGGTTGACGTCTCCTTGCCAACTTAGTCGTGAAAGGCGGCGGCTGTTTGTTGTTGTTTCTAGGCACTGGTTGTTGAGCTATCATTGAAACGCTCTACAAAGACAAAGATCCCCCGTGTAGCCGTTACAGACTTTCGGGCAAGTGCTGTAAGTGAGCACCTGCGAAGGCCGGCGCTGTGGCACACGAGGGCGTGGTGGCCAGTACCACGCCCGACCGCCTTTGTCTCCCTCGTGGCGGTGTGCCCATTACGGTATAAGGCCATCAATAATTCACCTGCACAACTAATCGGCTTAAATGATAATTTTGCTCGGGGTGGGGGGGATAAAATACAAAAAACCCACTTATAATTAACAATAAGAAACTGATGTTTATTTTATTATTTCACCCCAGGAGAGCCTCACAGTTACTGGACTTGTTCAGGCGGGGTGGGGGTCTCTGCAATATTTTTCGTCCAATGTTGCTGTTGTGTGCTGTGTACGTAATCCCAATTTAACTAATTTTAAGGGATTTGTTTCAGGATTGCGATATGTATGGCCGGATACCAGTTACCTTGTAGGGTAACTACTGGACAGTTTTAACAGAGGCACAAACGTAGAGACACTCCACGCAGGCACACCCGAGTCTAGAATCGAACCCAGGTGGCTTGTGTGGCCGTGATGAACAACAAGTGGTTAGCTTGCTGCATTCGCCACCCTAATTCAAACTGGTGTCGCGCGATCAAATAAATGCATTGATTTTGGCTCTGAAAATGGGGGTCTATAAAACGAGTATCGCTTTGTGGGGAAGTCTACGATGGTTGTCCTATGGGTAGACTCGCCCCTTCCCTGCCAAAGGAATGTGGAATTTCCACCACTGGTTTAAGGCCGTCATAAGCAAGATATGATCACCAATGCATCAATGCTTATTTGACCTGACAATCACTTTAAGCTAGACTTGACCTTTGTGTCAGTCATGTGCAGGAGTGCGCACACGGTTTATATATCATCGCATACACACAGCATGGAATGTGATGTACAGTAAAACCTCGTTATTTCGATATTTGATGATTCGTAATTGGGGGGGGGGGGAGAATTCGGCAGGGCTGCGTTTTTTGGCATATACTATATATTAGTAATTCGCCATGAGCCAAATTGCGGTACCGACTGGTCCAATTTCGGCATAAATGTAGTGCGACGCCGCGCGCCACAACCAAAACAATCACTCGGTCCAGTGGCGGAGCGCGTGGTGAGCGTTGGTGCAGACCCCGTTGCCTTGCACTTTAACTTTGTTTATGCACTCTGTGCAAGCCAACACTTTCAGAATTGTCGTCTACACCTCCATCAAGAGGTAATGGAAAGGGTTCGAAGTATAAATCCCTTGGTCTCTGAGAATTGATGCAGGTGTGTCAATGTGTATCGTGTGTGAAGAGTTTGGAAAACAAATTTGGGAGAATTTTTTTTATTGGAGTACCATTGTACATACTTCGGAATATTGGATAATTTCGCAAAGGCCAGAAACCCCTTATGTGTTGCATTAACAAGTGTTTACTGTACATGCACGATGTTTAAGTGTGTGTGTGTTGAGCACATATAATGCACCTTATTCTCATGCACCGCAATCCACATCCACACGTACGACGCGTTGACAACTGCGGTGAGGAACACAAGTTTTATTGTTTAAAATAACTCCCCCACTCCCGCCCACCACGACCAAAATGGCAATGTCCACCAAAGGGAGCAGCAGAGAGCCCCTCTAAAGCAACCATTTTGGTCTGGTGCTGTTCCTTCCGCCTGTGTGAGTGTGTGCGCTGGTCTTGGTGCGTGCATTGCTGCATATTGTTCGTGCTAATCGTTCGCTACCAGACCACCTGGTATGGGGAGCAGTCTTCATGTTAATGTGAATCCATTGGGATCTCGATACTTGAGCCATGGTGGGACGTCTTCAGCGTCACGGCGGGGACGCCGACGGCGCCGCGTGCGGCGCGGACGGGCAAACCACACCGGAGGACCAGCTCCGGCGGGCGCATCGGTGGTGGTGGCGGCGGTGGCGGCGGTGGATTGTGGCGGAGTGACGAGCAGCGGTGTTTTTTGCCCGCGGTAACCATCACGAGCGCTGGTACCCGGCGGCGATGTAACGATAGACATCAGCGAAGGGATGCCTCGCTGGCTAGCGTCGCGAGCGCTGGTCTTTGCCGGTGCTGGAAGTGTGGGCATCAGTGGAGGTGGGCTCAGCTGGCAGGGATCATGGGACTTGGTCTCCGCCGGCACTGGAGGGGTAGGCATGGGTGGGCTCAGCTGGCAGGGATCCTCAGCGCTGGTCTCCGCCGGCACTGGAGGGGTAGGCATGGGTGGGCTCAGCTGGCAGGGATCCTCAGCGCTGGTCTCCGCCGGCACTGGAAGGGTAGGCATGGGTGGGCTCAGCTGGCAGGGATCCTCGGCGCTGGTCTCCGCGGGTGCTGGAGGCGTGGGCAGCAGCGGAGGCTGGGGGACGTGGGCTTGGTTGCGGCCGCGTTTACTCGCAGCATTGCGTGCGCGTCTTCTCCGGGCTGCAGCCGCCCGAAGAGCAGGGGCGAGGGCTTGTCTGTGGCCTCTGACCCTGCCCACAATGGGCGCCACCAGCATCGTTGGTTTCTGCAATTCAGCACAAAATAAACCGGATTGAATGTCTTCAAAGGTAACAAAGATAAAGGTGCAAATCCTGAAACTGCCTGCTCAAGCCACCGCCAGTGGACGGGCCTACACTAAAGAACTCTCGAGCGCGCCTATTGTAGAGGGCATTTGGCCTACGTTACACTGGAAAAAATTGGAGTACCCACACTTTTCATCGCTAAACAGTCCAATCGGTTGAATGGCTGTGGTGTAGCCATTTCTGCTGCTGAGTGGATAAGAGACTGGGAGGCATTTAAACCAACTGGCCCTTGGTTTCAGTGAGAAACGCTGGGACACGGAATGGAATCTGGGAACCTCTGGATTGCAAGTGCAGTATATCGTATCAAACGTATATTTGAGCTGTGTCATCATTTTCCTTTATATATTAGAATTTTTTTATTTAACAAAATGTGAGCATATTGTAGCCTGTCGCGCACTTTGCAAGTCTGGGGGAGTCAACAGTAGTGGAGAACCGTCTAATATCGGTGGCAAATTGCATTTGAACCAACAATTAATCTTCACCTTTAGAAGACCAGCTCGGACTATCTTGGTGAAGTGTGGTCAAAACAACCCCGCGAATAACACGGCATGGGGGAGGCCGTCATCCAGCAGTGGATTAATCATGACTGGTGGTGATGATGAAATATACCAGTCCAATAACAGTTGCAGGATCAGAATGTTTATTTATACTGGAGGAATCTGATGATCTATTAAGCTCTTTTTATCAGCTGCCCAATAGGGTTGTGTAAGAACGTTACAACAAACAGTATAAAAATATGACAGTAGTGCAAAGAACAAGGTAAACAAATCACCCAAACACATAAATAAAACATTAAGAAAACTAAACCATCATCCTACCAGGCAAAGCCCACTTGGGCTATTAACTTATCTTCTTAGAAGCAACTTGGACATTAACGGCAGCCAAAATAATAATAATAATCTCTGTAATCTCAACGCGAGCTTCTAACCGCCCGCTCGCTCGCTCACCTTGCGACGCACAGAGAACCACAGCTGCACGAGGGTGATGACGACTTGGCACAGAACGTTGAGGCGGTCGGAGGTTTTGACTTTGGCCCAGAGTGGGAGTCTGCCGAAGGGACGCTGAGCCTGGACGTTGTAGACGGCCGAGGTCTCGTTGGTTCTGTTGGGACAGCAGCAGACGGACAACGTCGACAACGTGAGACGGGGGGGGGGGGTTACATGGGGTCCGCTCCCTTGGGAGCCCCGTCGCGTTGGTTCGCGTTTGCGTCGCGACCCGGGGGGGGGGGGCACTGCTACGGGGGGGGGGGGGTGTTGGTGGCACTGCTACGGGGGGGGGGGGGGGGTGTTGGTGGCACTGCTACGGGGGGGTGGGGGTGTTAGTGGCCCTGCTACGCGGGGGGGGGCACTGCAACGCGGGGGGGGGGTTGGTGGCCCTGCTACGCGGGGGGGGGCCCTGCTACGTAGAGGAGGGGGGGCCCTGCTATGTCGGGGGGGGGGCTGCTACGTAGAGGAGGGGGCCCTGCTACGTAGGGGGGGGGCCCTGCTACGTAGAGGAGGGGGGGGCCCTGCTACGTAAGGGGGGGGGCTGCTACGTAGGGGGGGGGGCCTGCTCCTTACCTGGCCGCGTCGTCCTCTATCCGCCTGGCGCGTCCACCGCGGGGCCGGATGGGCTCCCGTCCCCACGCGGCGTGCGACGTTGCGGGGCTGCTGGCGTCAAACGCGACGGCGTCTTCGCCGTCTCGGAGAGACGATTGGTGGTTGCTGTTGTTGTTGTTGTTGATCATCTCGTAGAAGGTTGTTGTAGCGTTATCGATCGCGGACATCGCTGGCTGATCCCCACGATGGATTAGGAGGATGCCCAGAAGCCACAAGACGGTTTTGACGCAACTCGCCATGTTTATGAAGAAATTTTTTTATTTTATTTTTAACAAAACAAAATAAAATAAAAAAAATCTCCTCAGCGATGTCAAAGTTCGCGGCTGCCCTCTCGCGGCGCGTCCCCGAGCGAGCGAGCGAGCGAGCGGCGTGACGTCAGCGCGTGACGACAGCGCGTGACGACAGCCAGTGGATATTACGTCACTAGCACGTGACGGACACCACGTGGGGTGGGGCGGTTTTTGAATGGCGGTGAACAGAAAGTTTGTTACGGGTTACAAAGAATGGACTTGTCCCCGTCGTACGAACGTGGAAATGCAACCGCTTACTCCAGGGTCCGTAACATGGTAAGATGAACACCGCCTCTTATGCTCATTTTGTCTTTATTTGATATTTACCAGATAAGTTTACAATAACTTCCCACATGTAGGGTCCTATCAAAATGAACTTTTAAGTTTATAAATCGTCAAATTTGAATGGAAATGAAGTAATTTCAATAGTGTGAAATGTGCATTTAATTGTACATGTACATCTCAATTGCATGTTTGAAGACTTAACTTTTAAGTATTTAACCCTCGGTGGCTCTGCGGCTGAGTAAGCAAGACCCACGTAAAGTTAGTACAGTGCCTCTGTGTGAGTAAGTTCACACTGGTTGTTAAATGGATGGACTTAACCCCGTCATACGATTGTGGAATTTCAACCGGTGGACTGCAGGGCCAGGAGATGAACACGAACTCTGATGCTTCATTTGAGCAGCAAATCACCTTTGACGTGCCTTTACTTACACTGAGAGTTAACTATACTGTACATCTAATTAATCTTTAACAAATGAGCGGTTCCTCTACTCCACAAAGCTAACCCACTGCTCACTAAAGAGCCCCCCCCCCCCGTGTTTTCGCTGCACCTCTGAGTGAGCTCTTGTAGAGTTTTAATCACGAGCTAAAGTTAGCAAAAGTTATAAACACAAACAGCATTCACTTGACGCCCTTGTCCAGAGCCTACACAGAGCACCAAACTTACACACAATAAACACTTTGCTGGCTCTCTTGACTCTGCCTGTATCTTTCACCTCCCCCTTCTATCTCGGTGTGTGTTGTGGTTATTTTTAAAACAAATAAACAGTTTAATTAACTCGCGGTTACTGTACAATTTAGTTTTGTCCTATACTCCGTTGAGCTACGAATTATCATTTGTGAGAGCCGGGTCGCTTCTGAAGAATAGAGCCACGATGTTGTGGCTCAGTGGGGGCCTTAACTGAGAAAATAAAATAAACTTTATCGTGTTCTCGGTTCTTTCGGTAAAGTCACGTAGAGGGGAAACAAATAATACAAATATAAAACAGTACAATTCTGACGACGTTTCGACTGCAACGTAAGCAATCATCATCAGGTGTGAAAACCACGGCAAGAAGTATCTTATTGTTTCCCTTCTACGTGACTTTACCGAAAGAGCCAAGAATATGAATCCCTGCAGTCACGAAAGCTTTAAATCAAAATCTAAACTGTTTATCGTTTTAGTTCGCACACGCGCGTGTGATTGTGTGTGTGGCGTTGACGACTTTGGGGTTACTGCATCTCTTAAACAAAAACAACATTCGTCGTTTAACAATTAACGCAAGACACCGGTTCTGTTCAACAATTGCTGCACTGTTTTTTTGTCCCGTCTCTTTCTGTGTCTACGTGGCTCTGTAACTGCGATCAGCACGGTCGGCTACGTACGGTGCGAAAGAAGTTTAACGCGCATGCTGCTGCGTCTGCGTTTGAACTTTGTGTGGGTTGGGTTTGGTGGATGTCCATGCGTGGGCAAGCGAGTGTGGTTTTTGGTGTTTCTAGTACACTTGCCTCAAGGTGCACCTAGCCTGGCACAAGCGCCGTGTGGTTGACGTCTCCTTGCCAACTTAGTCGTGAAAGGCGGCGGCTGTTTGTTGTTTCTAGGCACTGGTTGTTGAGCTATCATTGAAACGCTCTACAAAGACAAAGATCCCCCGTGTAGCCGTTACAGACTTTCGGGCAAGTGCTGTAAGTGAGCACCTGCGAAGGCCGGCGCTGTGGCACACGAGGGCGTGGTGGCCAGTACCACGCCCGACCGCCTTTGTCTCCCTCGTGGCGGTGTGCCCATTACGGTATAAGGCCATCAATAATTCACCTGCACAACTAATCGGCTTAAATGATAATTTTGCTCGGGGTGGGGGGGATAAAATACAAAAAACCCCACTTATAATTAACAATAAGAAACTGATGTTTATTTATTATTTCACCCCAGGAGAGCCTCACAGTTACTGGACTTGTTCAGGCGGGGTGGGGGTCTCTGCAATATTTTTCGTCCAATGTTGCTGTTGTGTGCTGTGTACGTAATCCCAATTTAACTAATTTTAAGGGATTTGTTTCAGGATTGCGATATGTATGGCCGGATACCAGTTACCTTGTAGGGTAACTACTGGACAGTTTTAACAGAGGCACAAACGTAGAGACACTCCACGCAGGCACACCCGAGTCTAGAATCGAACCCAGGTGGCTTGTGTGGCCGTGATGAACAACAAGTGGTTAGCTTGCTGCATTCGCCACCCTAATTCAAACTGGTGTCGCGCGATCAAATAAATGCATTGATTTTGGCTCTGAAAATGGGGGTCTATAAAACGAGTATCGCTTTGTGGGGAAGTCTACGATGGTTGTCCTATGGGTAGACTCGCCCCTTCCCTGCCAAAGGAATGTGGAATTTCCACCACTGGTTTAAGGCCGTCATAAGCAAGATATGATCACCAATGCATCAATGCTTATTTGACCTGACAATCACTTTAAGCTAGACTTGACCTTTGTGTCAGTCATGTGCAGGAGTGCGCACACGGTTTATATATCATCGCATACACACAGCATGGAATGTGATGTACAGTAAAACCTCGTTATTTCGATATTTGATGATTCGTAATTGGGGGGGGGGGAGAATTCGGCAGGGCTGCGTTTTTTGGCATATACTATATATTAGTAATTCGCCATGAGCCAAATTGCGGTACCGACTGGTCCAATTTCGGCATAAATGTAGTGCGACGCCGCGCGCCACAACCAAAACAATCACTCGGTCCAGTGGCGGAGCGCGTGGTGAGCGTTGGTGCAGACCCCGTTGCCTTGCACTTTAACTTTGTTTATGCACTCTGTGCAAGCCAACACTTTCAGAATTGTCGTCTACACCTCCATCAAGAGGTAATGGAAAGGGTTCGAAGTATAAATCCCTTGGTCTCTGAGAATTGATGCAGGTGTGTCAATGTGTATCGTGTGTGAAGAGTTTGGAAAACAAATTTGGGAGAATTTTTTTTATTGGAGTACCATTGTACATACTTCGGAATATTGGATAATTTCGCAAAGGCCAGAAACCCCTTATGTGTTGCATTAACAAGTGTTTACTGTACATGCACGATGTTTAAGTGTGTGTGTGTTGAGCACATATAATGCACCTTATTCTCATGCACCGCAATCCACATCCACACGTACGACGCGTTGACAACTGCGGTGAGGAACACAAGTTTTATTGTTTAAAATAACTCCCCCACTCCCGCCCACCACGACCAAAATGGCAATGTCCACCAAAGGGAGCAGCAGAGAGCCCCTCTAAAGCAACCATTTTGGTCTGGTGCTGTTCCTTCCGCCTGTGTGAGTGTGTGCGCTGGTCTTGGTGCGTGCATTGCTGCATATTGTTCGTGCTAATCGTTCGCTACCAGACCACTTGGTATGGGGAGCAGTCTTCATGTTAATGTGAATCCATTGGGATCTCGATACTTGAGCCATGGTGGGACGTCTTCAGCGTCACGGCGGGGACGCCGACGGCGCCGCGTGCGGCGCGGACGGGCAAACCACACCGGAGGACCAGCTCCGGCGGGCGCATCGGTGGTGGTGGCGGCGGTGGCGGCGGTGGATTGTGGCGGAGTGACGAGCAGCGGTGTTTTTTGCCCGCGGTAACCATCACGAGCGCTGGTACCCGGCGGCGATGTAACGATAGACATCAGCGAAGGGATGCCTCGCTGGCTAGCGTCGCGAGCGCTGGTCTTTGCCGGTGCTGGAAGTGTGGGCATCAGTGGAGGTGGGCTCAGCTGGCAGGGATCATGGGACTTGGTCTCCGCCGGCACTGGAGGGGTAGGCATGGGTGGGCTCAGCTGGCAGGGATCCTCAGCGCTGGTCTCCGCCGGCACTGGAGGGGTAGGCATGGGTGGGCTCAGCTGGCAGGGATCCTCAGCGCTGGTCTCCGCCGGCACTGGAAGGGTAGGCATGGGTGGGCTCAGCTGGCAGGGATCCTCGGCGCTGGTCTCCGCGGGTGCTGGAGGCGTGGGCAGCAGCGGAGGCTGGGGGACGTGGGCTTGGTTGCGGCCGCGTTTACTCGCAGCATTGCGTGCGCGTCTTCTCCGGGCTGCAGCCGCCCGAAGAGCAGGGGCGAGGGCTTGTCTGTGGCCTCTGACCCTGCCCACAATGGGCGCCACCAGCATCGTTGGTTTCTGCAATTCAGCACAAAATAAACCGGATTGAATGTCTTCAAAGGTAACAAAGATAAAGGTGCAAATCCTGAAACTGCCTGCTCAAGCCACCGCCAGTGGACGGGCCTACACTAAAGAACTCTCGAGCGCGCCTATTGTAGAGGGCATTTGGCCTACGTTACACTGGAAAAAATTGGAGTACCCACACTTTTCATCGCCTAAAACAGTCCAATTGGTTGAATGGCTGTGGTGTAGCCATTTCTGCTGCTGAGTGGATAAGAGACTGGGAGGCATTTAAACCAACTGGCCCTTGGTTTCAGTGAGAAACGCTGGGACACGGAATGGAATCTGGGAACCTCTGGATTGCAAGTGCAGTATATCGTATCAAACGTATATTTGAGCTGTGTCATCATTTTCCTTTATATATTAGAATTTTTTTTATTTAACAAAATGTGAGCATATTGTAGCCTGTCGCGCACTTTGCAAGTCTGGGGGAGTCAACAGTAGTGGAGAACCGTCTAATATCGGTGGCAAATTGCATTTGAACCAACAATTAATCTTCACCTTTAGAAGACCAGCTCGGACTATCTTGGTGAAGTGTGGTCAAAAACAACCCCGCGAATAACACGGCATGGGGGAGGCCGTCATCCAGCAGTGGATTAATCATGACTGGTGGTGATGATGAAATATACCAGTCCAATAACAGTTGCAGGATCAGAATGTTTATTTATACTGGAGGAATCTGATGATCTATTAAGCTCTTTTTATCAGCTGCCCAATAGGGTTGTGTAAGAACGTTACAACAAACAGTATAAAAATATGACAGTAGTGCAAAGAACAAGGTAAACAA